GGATTCCTTGGGCCGAGGCTGGCGCCCCCCTGCAGGCAGGACACTAGGGGCTCCCGCAGCCCCGACGCTCCATCCTTCCAGCCTGGTGTGCAAGAGGCAGCCAGAGGGCGAGGGGCAGGCACCCTGTTCACCCAGACCACAGTCCAGAAAGCACATTCAGTGCACGAAGGGCAGCATTACCTCCATGCACCCTCGGGCGGCCAGGGCGGTCCTGGGGCCTGGCCGTGGCTCCAGCGAGGAGGCGGCTGCCATGGGAACCAGCGCAGCACCTCACGGCTTCCCCACAAAGGCTGGCCACTGGACGGCGACAATTAAGGCTTTGTTACCGACGCCTGTGCGTTTCTCCTCCTGAATTCCTTCTATTACCCAGTTCCGCGTGAATCGAGTGGCTCAATCTTGCCATCTCCACGGCACACTCCGAAACACAAATTCTGCAGAGTCCGGGCTTTTCTGCTTCCTCCTGCCCTCCTTCTTTCCCCTTTCTGTCCAGTCAGCTTCTTCTGTGGGGCACACAATGTCATTGTCCACCAATAACCGTCCCATTATTGAGACTTGAGAGGCATCCCAGGGGCCAGCCGCAAGACCTCAGAGGCTCCTGCCCTTTCCTTGCAGGGTGGGCGGCGGCAGGCTGGCCACCCGCTCAGGCCTCCCGGGGGCAGGGACGGCCGAGGGCCCGCTTTGTCCCTTCCCTTTGCCTCGGTCCTTGCTCCCTCGTAGGCCAACTCCCTTGGAGCTGCAGAGGTCACCAGGGCACTCCTGCATGTGGGCAGCACCTCAAGGCATGGGCTGGGCACAAGGGGATGTGGACTGGGTTGATCTTGCAGCCAGGCCTGTCACCTGAGGGAGTCCCCTCTGGGGCCCAGAGAAGGGAAGGCTGAGAGTGTGCAGACCCCACTGAGCTGGCCCTTGGGGATCCCCTCCTAGAGGCTCCCTTGGCTGCTGGGAGGAGGCCCTGCACTACAAACAGGCCATGAGGGAGGGAGAGCAAGCTGGCTGGATCGAAACGGAGGGTCCATGGAAAGCTGGACCTCAGGGATGGTCGAGTGGGGCAGGGGACAGGTCATGAGGCAAGGGACAGGCCACGGGGCAGGCAGTTCCAGGAGTGAGCAGCAGCCCTGCCCCTCTGTGCCCGCCTGGGAGTGCTGGGGTACGGAAATAGAACGTACAGTTCTGTTATCTTTAAATGACATCTAATTAGGCTGAGCAAAGATTTCTCCTTTGTGTTTAAAAACAAATAAAAATCAATTTCCCTTGCTTGAATTGTCATTGTTTTGGCAGGCACCCAGAGTGGAGCCCCAACGGAGAGCCTGCTGCACCGTGGGAGCAGGAGATGTCCATGTGACCATCGTGAGCTGGGGACAGGGGACACCAACTCCCTGCAGGGCCCAGAGGGCCCTGGACTGTCCAACCCATCAGGAAGTGGACCAGGACACACCCAGGCCACATTCCCAAGCAGCTTTCCTGCCATACACCCTGCATCCCCTGGCCCTGGGGGCTGGTGGCCAGGTGGTCAGCCCCCAGGAGTATCAGCACCAGCGTCCTCTGTCCCTCCCCAGAGTAGTTCACCTTCTGCCCCCCATTGTCCAGACCAAGGAACACAGTCCCAAAGGGTTTCAGTCACCAGTCTCAGGTCTCTGCTCACAAGTGGCAGAGTTGGGGTCTGAACCCTCTGAGCGTGACCACCATAATCTGACACGCCACCCAGGGTCATCAGCATGGGGCTCAGGAGAAGAGAGGGTACAAGGTGGAGGCAGGGGAATCTGGCCAACGCCCTGTGAGTGGACGAGGCCTGGCCCAGGAGGAGGCGTCCATGTCTGGAGTGCAGGGCAGAGCTGTGAATACAACACTGCCAGGCGAGGGTGTCAGGCTGGAGCCCGAGGAGCCAAGCTGGCAGCCGGGCCTGGCGCTGCCAGTGAGCGACAAGGCAGGGGGCTTTCTACCACCCACTGAGCCATCCCACACCTTGTCACGACACCCTCAGAGGCCCTGCGGTCCACTTTCCAGGTGAGGTGCAGGCGTGGGCGCCGGGGCCAAGGCAGGCCCAGGATCCCAGCCCAGGTCTTCAGCCTGCCAGCAGGTATGGGTCAGGTACAGCCAGGGGCTGTGGAAGTGTGGCTTAGAACAAGACAGGGGGACCAGCAGATGGTGTAATGGCTATGTCATTGAACTCACACATAGTCAACCGTGGTTCGAGTCCTGGATCCAGCGGCTTAAAACTCACACCCGGCTAGTGTGTGTGCGTGCCCAAAGTCCCAGGAGGAGAACGAACGAGAAGGGATTGCAGCGTTGCCAGCCCCCTGGGGGGTGATTTCTCACTTTCTCTCTCTCTTTCTGGCGAGCAAACATACCCTATAGCAAAAATCTCTCTAAAAAAAAAACAGAAAGGACAAGACGCAGGTACATTCTGGGTCTTCTTCCTGTTTCCTGGCACACAGCTCCCAAGCCTTGAAATCACTGAAGCACCTTTCAGCGCTGCTAAGACGGCTGGGGACTGGGGCTCCTGTGCAGCCTCGGGATGGGGGCTGGTTGTCAGGGGAACCAGGCTGAGTCTGGAGGGTGGAATTTTCAGCCCCGCTCTCACTTCCAAGAGGGGGACCAAGGGTTAAGTGGATTGCCAATGACCAATGACACGATCACATGTGCCTACCAAAAGGTGCTTCTCACAACCCGGAGGACAGAGTTTAGAGAGCACGGAGAGCTGCACACACAGAGGCTGCAGGGTGGTGCCGGAGAGGGCGTGGCCACCCGCGCCCCCAGCCCTGCCCCGCGCAGCCTTCCCTCCGACTGAGTAGCTGCACCCTCTCTAAAGGCCTCTGGAGTAAGTGGGTGGCTGTGAGTAGTGTCTCCCTGAGCCGTGAGCTGCTCCGGCAGATTATTCGAACCTGAGGAGGAGGTGTACAAACCGATTTATAGCCAAGCAGACAGAGGCACAAAACCCAACCCATGCAAGTACCTGGCATTGGAAGTGGGGAGGGAGCGAGGTAGGTGGGGGGCGGTAGCCACACGTGCAGCCTGTGAGCTCTGATGCTGTGTCCAGGTAGATGGTGTCAAAACTGAATCGAGGGGACCAGCAGTTGGCATAATGGCTATGTCACTGGACTTCCATGTAGTTGACTGTGGTTTGAAACTTGGACCCGGTGGCTTAAACTCACGCCAGGCGCATATGCGTGCATGCCCAAGATCCCAAGAGGAGAATGGAGGAGAAGGGATTGCAGTGTGGCCATCCCCCCAGGGGGAAGAGTTCTCACTTTCTGTCTCTCTGTCTCTCTGTCTTTCTGGCGAGCACTTGCGCCCTACAGCAAAAACCTCTCAAAAAAAACTGAATTGGAGGACATGCAGCTGGTGTCCACTGGAGAAGTGGGGTCAGAGTGTTGTATCGAGTGACAGAAAGTAGGAAAACCTTTTCTTCCCCTTATCCCTATTGAAGAGAACCTCCCGAAGAACACGAAATTCGCCCAGGAAATGTGGGGCCATGGGATCAGTATTATGGCCAGAAGGACAGGAGAGATCACAAGCAGAATTCCCTGCAGAGACAAGTGGACGGGAGGATGACACTGTGGTGCACACTTTCCAACTGGACACCGGAAACATGACCTGCATGGACTGCTGGGCTCCATGAACGCAAAGACCCATTCCAGCGTCCGGAGTCTCAGCTCACAATGCCGTCCACTGTAACACCAACGAAACCCAAAAAGGTCCCCAAACAGAAATGTATAGGTGACAGAAAGACATAGACACTATGTGATCTAGCTGAATATTAATAAAAATGTCAAACCAAAAAAAAAATTCACTCACTTGATGAGAACACTTCAAGTCCTAAATCTGGTGTCTTGAAAGTCATGCCGAGGGACCAGCAGTTAGCGTAATGGCTATGTCGCTGGACTCCCATGTAGTCAACCACGGTTCGAGCTCCAGACCCAGTGGCTTAAATTGACGCCAGGTGCGTGTGCGTGTGCGTGCGCGTGTACGTACGTGCCCAAGATCCCAAGACGAGAATGGAGGAGAAGGAATTGCAGTGTGGCCATCCCTCCTGGAGGGTGATTTCTCCCTTTCTATCTCTCTGTCTCTGTCTGTCTTTCTGTCAAGGGCATGCTCCCTATAGCAAAAAACAAACAAACAAACAAACAAACACAGTCTACAAAAAAAAAAAAAAAAAGAAAGAAAGAAAACAAAGTCATGTCAAGTATATGTGTGTGTGCGCACAAAATCCCAGGAGGGTTCTCACTATTCCTCTCTGTGTCTCTCCAGCAAGCTCACATGCCCTATGACAAAAAAAAAAAACTTAGAAAACAACAAAAAAAGCCCTTAGTCATGTTAATGTTAAAGAAACAATCCTATTATGGACATGTCAGAAAAATAACTTTTAGAGGGCCAGCCAGTGATGTGGTGGTGAAGGCAGCTAGATCTCACAAGGCTGAGTGGCTCAAATCCTGAACTCAATGGCTTGAAAAAGCGCACAGGTGCATGTGCGTGCACGTGTGTGTGCCCAAAATCCCGAGAGGGGAAGGGAGGAGAACGAACAGCGATGTGGTCATCCTCCCTGGGCGGGTGATTTCTCACTTTCCCTCTTTCTTCCTCTCTCTGTCTTCTCTCCAGTAAGGCATATGCCCTATAGTAAAACTAAAATAAATTAAATAAATAAATAAATAACCTGTAGGAGAAAACTCCCTATCAAATTTGTATGGCCAAAGCTGGACTCAGAGAGAAATTCATATCCATTGTAAGTAGACAAGACTAAGCACTTCATTCAGAAGCTCAGAAGAGCTAGAGCAAACAGGAAGAGGGAATTGCTGAAGGTGAATCAGAAGATTTAATCAAACAAGAGAGCAGAGGTGCGTATTAAGTTCTGAAGCTGATTCTCTGAAAACACAGATTCAAAAGATAAACCCCTGGCAATTCTCATCAAGGAAAGGAAGGAAGGATGCGAGGGAGGAAGGATGGAAGGAAGGAAATGCAAAAATACACTGGGCAGGAAAAAGGGAAACTTTAAAAGAATCAACTATGTAAATCTATGCTAAATGATCTGAAAGCTCTTTGAACTGGGATATTATCCAGAAAACACAAATACCCAAAATAGACTAAAAATGTTTAGAACCCAAAAAGACCAATAACCATAGTACAAATTAGGTAAGTTGACAGCCAACTAAACCTCAGGGAAAAATAAAAGCAAGCTCTGGCTGAGATAGTTTCTAAAATGAATGATTTCAAGCCTTTGAGACTAAGATAATTTTCTATGATATTTAAACCATTTCAACTATGCAATTCATATTGAAAAGCTTTCCTATTCATTTTATGAGGCTAACATAACCATGATTTATAAATGAGACAAATATGGTTCCTAATAGAAAAGAAGGTATAAATTCTCACCTATGAATATAGATGAGGCGTACCCAAAGCGACAGAGTGACATACCAGGAAAAGAAGCCCCGCAGACCCAGTGGGGGTTACTCCAGGAACCGGGGGATGGTTTAGCTCAGAAGAGCTAATAAGTCAACACATGAACAGCCCCGAGGAGGACAGGCATCTAATGATTTTACTGGATACGCAAAAGCCTTTGAAGACACTGATTCTCCATTCTTGGGGTACACTCTCACCGATGAACGTAGGAGTGAGGGCCCTGCTCACAAGGAAGAACGTCTGTTTGAAATGTAAGACCAATTACAGACGTAGTAAAACGTGCAGGCCTTGTCGTTACAATGGAGCTCAAGCCAAAGACAAATGCCATGATTTAATGTAGCTGTGTACCTTTTAGAAAACAGAAAATAAATAAAAGATACGTTAGAAATAGAGGTGCAATGTTCCTTGTGTAAGAAATAGGGTTACACTTGGGTTTTCCAGGAAGCCAAACTGAAAATCTGCTCAAACTAACAACAGAGTTGGAAGGTCAATGAGCTAAGATGGTATCTTAAATATTAAGAGTTTACCTCTCTGCGTCCCTGGTACAGGGGTCCTCAGGGTCCCCATGGAATGGTCCTGGATGCTCATCCAGTGGCAGTGGGCAGGCATGCTGCCTGTCTGTGTGTGCCCCGTGTCTGCGCACCTGTGTGTGTTACCGTCTGTGTCTTTCCGTGCGTGGGTGTGTGTGTGTGTCTCTGCGTGTACGTCTGTCTGTGCAGGTGTGTGCATCTGTACAAGCCTGTGTATGTATCTTTGAGCTGACTGCGTATATCTGTGCATCTCGGTGTGTATGTGCTCCTATGTGCCTGTGTGTATGTCTCTGCATGTGACTGGTATGTCTGTGTCTACCCACATGTGTCTCCTCAGATCTCCCATCCCTGCAGTCCCTCCAGCCGTCATTCAGGAACCTGCTGTCCCCAGAGGACCTGCTCCACCAACCAAGCCTGCTACCCACAGCCCCTTCCCTTCATACACTGTGACACCCTGCCACTCATTCCTTGGGCTGTCTTATGTGTGTCTGTGTGTCTGTGTGTGTGCATCTATATGTGCCTGTATGTCTATGTCTGCATGTCTGTGTGTCTCTACGTATGTCTCTCTGTGTGCATATACAGATGTGTGTGTGGCTCTGTGTGCCTGGTGCCAGCACACACCATGGGCTGTCCGTGCATGTGTCTCCATGGATCGGTGTGTGTGTGTGCACATATGTCTCTGTGTGTCTGTGTATGTGTGCCTGGTGTCTGGCCTCCACTGGGCACTTGCTCATCCCTCTTCTAAGGGCATCTGCTGTGTGCAGCCAGGGGCGCCCTGGACACCAGGCTGAGGGCAGCCTGGCCCAGGCTGGAATGTGGTACCTCCTGCCCTAGTGCTGCCACGACCTCCTCAACCTCCCTGGGGAGCCTGCCCCCCACCTGCCACTTGAAGAGTGAGGGCCAGCGGGCTGAAAGACCTGCAGGAGCTGCATAAGGGAGGCTGAGTCTCTGAGGTCGTCTGACTCAAGTTCGCCAGCCCAGGAGAGTAGGAGGGGCTTGCAAGGCAGCCACAGTGACATTTGGGAAATGCCAGAGGCTGGGCCCAAGCCAAGAAGGCGGTGTGAGTAGAACTGTGGGGGCGGGGCTCTTCCCAGGCAAGCCCAGCCCGTGGTGCCCTGGGTTTGCCAGCAAAACCCCTGAGCCAGCCAGCACCCAGTGGGTTGCATGGACAGGGCCTAGGGAGTACAGGGGCCAGGCAGGAGAGAAGTGAAGGGCTGAGTGGGGGTATCTGGCTGCTTCCATCCACTGCCACCTGATTGCTCACACCCTGAAACCTGAGAGCCTCGGGGCTCTCCCTAGTCCTGGAACTTACAGGGTCCAGGCAGCCTGAACCAGGCACAGCACAGACCTCCTGGTCTGAGAGCCAGGTCTGACCCCTGAGCCCCTCTGGGACTCACTTTCCCTGTAAACAGAACAAGGAGACAGGGCATCAGCCACACGGCGCTGTCCATACAGGTCACCTCAGCTCTCATGCCCTCCCTCATTGCTCTGTCGGGGCTCTCCAGCCTGCGCCATATGCTCAGGGTGGGAAACCCACACAGCTCACCGTCTGAGGATTGAAGTCGGAGCCAGGCGCCATGGGGACACAGGATGGAGCCCTTACTGCGGGGAGAAATCAGGGAGGACTTCTAGAGGTGGGGGGTTTTGGATGGGCTGCCAAGGATACCCAGGGGTTCCCTGGTGGGTTAAGGGGCAGGAAGGCAGGGAGCTGTCCCAGTGTGGTCTCCTAACTGATGGGGCAGTTCTGACAAACCCAGTCATCCTTGGGGCACGCATGAGCAGCTGCCCTGGAGGGTGAGGCCCCAGAGCCCAGAGGCATGGGAGGAGCAGGAAGCTTCTATGGGCTGGCCAGCTCCTCTCAGGCTCATGGGCCCCCTTCCCCCCAAAGGTCAAATCCTACTCATCCGCATCCAAGCAACCCTTCCTGACTGCATGGCAGCCCAGGCCCTGCACTGCGGTGGCCCACCTGCTCTGCCCTGTGGGAACGTCCCCGTTGATGCCCGTGCCCAGGCCAGGCCAGGACCTCGATGCACTCAGGGAGCAAGCTGGTATGAGATGCTGCTGTTACCCTCTCCTTCCCAGCCCTGCATCCCGCCCTAGGGCCACACCTCCCCAGGGTAGAGCCTCTCTCTGCTCTTCCTGGGGGAGCTCAAACAGAGAGCCCAGCAGATAGGCTGCAAGACGGCTCTTGCTGAAGCAGGCGAGACCCAGAGTGCCCAGGAGGAGTCAGGGGCCTGCAAGGGGCTCAAATTAGTACTCCCCATCAGAATGACCCCTGAACCCAGGCCCGCCCCCTCCCTGCAGGCAGCATCTCCTGGGAGGCTGGATACCTGGCTGTCCCACCATGCCTGTCCCCACCTGCCACCTGCCACATGGTAGCCTTTCTTGCCTCCACAGAGGTGAGCAATACCCTCCTTCCGGGAGCTGCCTGATTCCACTGCCTCCCACAACCACCGCCTGCACCCCGCAAGGCCTGGACTTCCCACTCAGGTGGCCCTGCACTCCTCTGCCTCCTCTGTCCACCCCCAATCTGATTCGTCACCTGCCCCACTGTGGTGGCCCCCTGCTGTCCGTGGCCCTCCACCCAGCAGCCAGCAGTGCCCTCACAACCCCAGGCACACCCACTTCCCAGCACACCCTTGTCACCCACCAGCCACGTGGCCTGGCTGACCTCTTACGCTGGCCTGTCTGCTGCTGTTCCTCTGGCTCCTGGACACACAGGCAGCTTCCTCTTCAATCCCTGCCCTAAACATTCCCTGGGGTGCTCCCCCCACTCGGCCCCCCCACCTTGCCTAAGGTGCAAACACCACCCAACACCACAGTTTGTCGGTCAGCATGCCAGGAACCAAACTGTCAGACCCCTGTTTGCCAGGGTGAGCTGGACTGCCATTACTGGTCCCAGTGAGATGGGGTGAGGGAGCTTCCGGCTGGAGGAGTGAGTGGAGGGACACGTCCTATGGAGACATTGAAATGCCGGCACCAAGAGCCTGCCGTGGGACCTGTCAGCCTTGGTCCCTGAGCCAGGTTGCACTGAGCAGGCCGGGCCAGCTGGCAATGGACACTCCGTGAGCAAAGACCATGCCGTGTTGTTCCAGCCGCGGACGGGCGGTTGTCACTACAGCCTAAACTGTCCGCCTTACTGGCCACCAGGAAACACTGATGAGGCTTTTCCTGTCTCCCCGTTAGAGCATGAGCTTCGAAGACAGGGACTGCACACAGCAGGCGCTCAATAAATGTCCGCGGGGTAGTGAAGCAGCTAGGGACAGAGGAGTCCTGCGCCTCCCACACAGCCAAGGCCGGTCCGAGGCTGCGAGGGCCGGTGCCCCCTCCCCCGCCAGGACACCAGGCACACCCAGCGACTGCACCTGAGTCACACCGCCCAGCTCTGCTCAAAGGAGGGTGGGAAATGCGCCAGTGCCCGGCTCCGGAATCATTCGGACCCAGCTCCCGACTGTCCCCGGGGCGCCTCCAGCCCACTCAGGCTCCACTCTTTAAAGTCACACTCAGTCGCGGGCCCACACCGCAGGTCCCGCCCTCACACACCCCATATATAAACGTGCCACATTTCCGCCCGCCGCTCTCGCCCACGACGCCCGCGGACTC